ACACACACACACACACACACACACACACACACACACACACACACACGTTGACCTATTTCAGGGGTTCTGCAGCTGCAGCCTCCCCCACTCAGAGACGTGTAACGGACCGAACCTGCAGCGTCAACAGCAGCTGATAAATGAACGACTGCGTGTTCTGCACCTGCTGCTGAAAAACCAAGACACGCTACCGTCATACGTGTGCCGGAATAAGAAACTCTGCTGAATCAGATTCCACTTCTTCATTAATCAGAAGATATTCAGGGATTCTGGGGGCGATTGACTTTGAGGAGCCGTCACATCGTCCATCTTTGTTCAGACACTTACTATAAATCCTGGAGCGCACACGCAGGCTCCGCTGCTGCCGTCACAGTCGGCTCCGTTGGTGCAGGCGCACATCTCCCTGCAGCCGCAGCCGTAGAAACCGGCCGGACAGGTCTCGTTGCAGTAAAGCCCCGTCCATCCTGCTGCACAGGTGCACTCCCCCGACAGAGGGTGACAGCTGAGACAGACCAAGGACATCATGAATTAGTGAATCTCTCTTTTAGTCAAGTGAATGTTTTTATCTGCGTGTAGCAGGAAAAGAAGCGGCGTGCTGAGGACAATGCAAAATGTTCTTCAGACTCAAATTCAGACACTTTAAGCATCATCCATCAGAACGTGATGAAAGAGCACAAGAGGTAAAATGTAAGAGTTCAGTGATGAGCACGTCTCCAACAGAAGGATTCCTGATTTATGAATAAATGCCAAAACCTTGTGCAGACAGAATAATCCTGAAAAAGCTCGACACTGGAGCAGAAAGGTTTTAATTAAGTCACTTGAACCGGTCACGGTCGCTCCGACGCAACCTCCTGCTCACATTCTGCTGTGCAGCTGAAAACCATAGAAACGTTTTGCTCACTTGACGAGCGCTTCAGTACCTGAGCGTGTTGGCAGCTTTGCACGGGCAGTACTTATCGCAGACGAGTCCGTACAGGCCGCTGGGACAGAAGCGGTCCTGGCAGCTGGGGCCCTTGAAGCCCTCGTTGCACAGACAGGCTCCGTTGATGTGGTAACACTTGGCCCCGTTCTGACAGTCACACTTGTGGGCGCACTGGGGCCCGTAGGTGGCGACCGGACATTCATCCTGACACCTGTCGGAGAGAAGAAACAACGATGGTGGAGGCGTGAGAAGAAAATCCTCTTTGTTCCTCTGGTGGAGGATTTAGTCGGTTTCACGGTTTCAGTTTGTTTCATCACTTCCTGTCCATCGAACCGACGACTCGGTCTTTCTGAGACCGAAAACCAAATAATGTCCAGTTGAAGCTCTCGATGTATTTTATGACATTCGACAGTTAACAAACATTAGAAACAAGAAGAATATGAGCAGATCGTCACAGAAGAGAAGTAAAACAAATCATTCAAGGTCAAAGGTCAGAATATTGACTTTGACCTTGATATTCAGATTCACGTTTCTGCAGCAGACAGATTGAAATAGTGATGCTGCTGCTTGGTGTTGATCTCAGTCCTGCAGATATACA